AAATATCCTCCCCCAGCTTCTGCTAAAGCTGCCTCACAGAAACACACAGGAGGAACTGGTGTGGGGAAGTCCTGAATTGGGTAGTAGCTGATACAATATTTACAACAGCATTCTGGGACAAATCTACCTGCAGCAAGAGACTGAATTGCCAGAATATGATTTCTGGATCGCTTCCAAAATACCATCTCCAACAAGTCAATATTCCAGATGAAGAAATGCACGCACGCCCGTCCGTTCTCATTAAGATACAGTGCTGCTAGATATCTTCTGAACGTTTGGCCCCAATCCAAAAGACAAAATCTGAATTATTTTTTCCCCTTTATAAAGCACATATAATTTCCCTAATTGTGATTGACAGCGCTGTATCAACAAAGTGCAGAATTCCATCTTCTCTGGGAGGACCAGGAGAGCCCTCAGAGAGCCCTCTGAACTGTCCTTCCCCAGTTTGAAGATGAAATCTCCAAGATCCAGGACCGACGTGAGCAGTCCTGTCTTTTTGACTGACGAGGAGACAAGCTGCTGTGAGAAGAAAGAGATGCTAAGGATTGGCAGCGTCAAGATGTGAAGAGTTCTCTGAAAGAGCAGGGAAAAATGTAACGCGCCTCATCAAAGCCCCGGCATAAGGTACACTGTGAATACAAGAGGAGAGTCCTAAGAAGAGTCCTGTCCCTTCAAGTCAGGCAGTAGCACCAAAGCACAGCAGCGGTGATCCTGAACTGGCTTTGGATGTCCTTTGAGGTCTGTCTTTTATATTCCCCAGACCCATACATTGTATTTACTAGAATTTTCAAAGAGGGCAGGATGACATTGGAAACCAGATGGTGGACGTCAGTTAGGAAAGATCCCTACGCAAACAAGCTGTCTTGGCCAGCAGTGCTGTAAGGACAGCAGGACTGCAGCTCCACCAGGCCTGGAGAAGGATGAAAGCCAGAAGAAAAGATGATGCACTGCAGCACCAAAGAGTTTCAACAGTGTGTTAGCTCCCTCCAAACTCCACCACGAAATAGTTGGGTATTACCGTACGCAGGCTCCCAGACGACAATTAGGACGCTTTTGATGAAAAATGCAAATGGGAGTTGAAATCTAAAAGGAAATCACAAGTTTGATCCCAAGTTTCATAAAAACATGCTATTTTGAATCTTGGGAACCCAAGGCATCGAACATGTCGGCTCACTAAACAACAGTCCTTAATAATCAGAAGCTCTTAAGAGTAAAAGTAGAATGAAAAAAAGATGAAGGAGTTAGACTAAAAGCCATAAAAGCCTAAGACGAACGCTGGCTTCCAGCTCCTGCCGATGCAGCCGTCTGCCAAAAGTTCTTTTGCCAGTTGTTGAGAAAAAGGAACCATCTTTGTAATGCAGTGAGAAGAAATGTCTAGAATGCCAAAACCCACATCTTTTGTTCTCTTCGAGAGTCAAATA